TCTAAAACAAAACGACTCTAGAGAGCAAGCAACTTTTCTAAATTTTGGTGGCAACTTTTTGATATTTGAGCAACTTTAGAGCAACTTTTGGGTATATTGTGAAGCAACTTTTCCTGAATTTACTAGCACAATCTATTCATGCCTAACCGCCAAAGTGAATTTTGTGCGAACTCAGTACCGCGAATCCGACCCCGGCTAGGCGGGTTACCCCACCTTGAAACGTTTACATGGCAAAATTTGACCCCGGCTGAGAGGGTTATCCGGTCTGGCAGACCGGGCTATCCGCCTTGGCTGGTCACCCCACCTATCATGTAAACGCCACCAAATTAAAATGGGCGATTATATGGACAGGCAGGTTACCCCACCTAAGCGGGTTACCTCACCTACCTGGGGTCTCCCACCTCCATGTAAACAGGCCCTTAGTCATAACACTCGTAGCAACACAAACCATGACAAACGGCAAGCATAAATTATAATATTTAAAGTTCTTCAGTTGGCAAACGATTAGGCTTATTTTCGCAGTAGGAAACTTTCCATTGCCACAAAACGCGAGAAGACTCGAGTTCCGTGAATAAACTGAACACAACCAAACAATGTCCAAGGGAAAGAAAAATATGCTGCAAAAATACATAAATACATACTTACGACGTTGATTTTTGCTAGGAACAATTGCACGTTTGTAACGTTCCGCGTCAAGTCAATCTTATGTTCTTGCTTCTTAGAGTGTATACAGACAAGAATAACTGAAAACGGGTTTAATTGTTGTCTTTGAGAGCCAAATTATATACCCGGCACCATAAGTAAACGATGCCGCTCTTGAATTACATGAAAAGTCTCTGCTTTTTATTTGTGGTCTTTATTTGACAGACTGTGACTAACAACTTGAAAGGGATAGTGTCGCAGAATTGTCTGTTGGTGACATCAGCGTTGTCCTGCCAGGGAGTGTTTACATAAGAAAACTCGCACCGGCGCGAGTTTCAAAATGGGATGACTTTTTGATTTCGTATCGCGTTTACATGGTGACTGGGTCATTTCATATCTTGTTATTTAAAGGTACATTTCATGTTGATAAGATACACGTGTGGTTCAAATTCGCAAACATTACGCATGCGCAACCAGTTCCAGTGTACCGGCAGACCGATTTCACACCGAAACGGGTGGTCTTTTTCGCGTTTACATGATACCGTTGCGAGATTACGTACCGGAATAAAATTCTCGACCCGGTACGAGAACCCGGGTGAACTCACGCCGGGGTTACTCGCGCCGGCATGACATTTTGTGGTGGTATCATGTAAACAATTATAGAGCCATGAGAGGGAACCGGAGTGAACTCGCTCTGGGGCGAAACTCGCCCCAGTGTCATGTAAACACCCCCCTGTACGAAATCTTGGAGTTCTGTTTGATCGAAATCTGAAGTTTGATGCTCAAATTACAAAAACATGTTGTGCAGGTTACTACTATCTGTACAATATAAGAAACATCAGGAAATACTTAACGTTGGATTCAACCAGATGTTTGGTTCATACACTGGTAATGGAGCGCGTAGATTACTGTAATAGTTTACTCTACGGTCTCCCAAGAAATAATATCAATAAGCTACAGCGTGTTCAGAATATGGCTGCCAGGTTAATAACAAATACTCCGCGGTTTTGTCACATCACACCTGTACTGTGTCAGTTGCACTGGTTACCAGTAGGTGTCGGGATTAAATTCAACATGATACTTATAACATCTAAAGCAATACATGGACTGGTTCCATATTATATACAAAGTTTAATCGAAGTCAAGGAGAAGTCCTCCTACAACCTTAGGTCAAATGATGAACTGTTACTTGCTCCACCGAAGTTCTGCACTTGAAAAGTTGAACAGAAGACAACAGTTGCTCGACCGTGAAGCTAACTCAAAAGTAATTTGCTAACGGAGGAATTTGTGACATCGCGCTCCAGTCCAAAGACCCACTTATCTCAAGAAAAACAAAATGGATTGTATCTGCGCCAAAAGGATTATGACTGACTAACAGGACAATTCTCAGCAGTTAATGTAGAAGTTTAGGCTCAATTCCTTCCTTCGAATTCACATCTGTAGATCACTTTTTTTGCGAGAAAACAATGGCTGGGCCGGGCGTTACAAAACATAGCAGGGAATCATCACACTAGCTGACGGACAAAACAACCACAGGGACTACAAGTATTTATTCAGATAAAGGCATTTCGAAAAAAAAAACATTGAAAAACCAGAAATTTGATTAATATTGAGTCATTTAGCCGAAATAAGAACCTTAACACTCAAAAAAATTGGCTAAAGAAAACGAATCCTGTCAGAACTACAGACTGCAGGTAGTAGTTAATCATTATGCATGTAACAGACCAGCTTCATGGCTTCTTATAAATGTGAGACAAGCAACCAAAATTAAGTTTACATAGTCGGAGTTTAAAACTCTCCACAGTATATTCTACCCGGCAGAAAGAAACAAAAGAAAATCTCTGAGCGATGAAAACGCTAAAGTCACGTTTCACTAGCTTATGATTGTGTTTGGCCTGTCAACACCGAATTTCCTGCTGTTTGATAAAGTACAATAGCAGTGTCATTTCGTCGTTGTGATTGGCTCTTCCCACCGTCGGCGCGCGAAGTCTCCCCCGGGAACCGTTCTAATTATAAATCTACTCGGGAAAGGGTTGACTCCAAGGGCTTGTATGGGAGATGGATGCTCCATTTGATGGGCTCCTGGTTTTGAGTATTTTTCTAAAACAAAACGACTCTAGAG